GTGAACAATTAAGATGCTCTCTTGGTTAATGCAGTGAAGAGAAGCTTTGTGTTCTTTTGGAGCCCAGAGCTTGTTTTATTAATATTTCTATAGCTGGTATAGTATTTGTTCTCCATTGAAGCAAATTGAGTTTTTGTTTTGTTTTGTTTCAACCAATAGGTTAGTATTCTGGTGCCCAGGATTGTTTGGGTTTGGGGGGGAGAGGTGTCTCTAGTTTAGGATATAATGGGGTCTTGCACCAAGGTTTGTTGGCTTAGAAAGTAAGGCAGAAAATATTTATGACCAGACTGTTCTCCCGTCTGTGTTGTGATCAAACAGAAAACTGCCATCCTGTAAAAGTCAACTCTACAGTGTCTTCAGCTTTTTTTTTAGCATGACCAGGTGAACTCAGAACCTTGAAAGTATATTATTTTCGTATATTATAAAATGTTATATAGTATATATATTATTTGTTTGTGTACATGGTATATGTATGTGTTGGTGTGGGTGTATCTTACAGGTGCATGCCACTGTGTACAGCTTTTACATCGGTGCTGTGGATCCTCAATGCTTGTGTAGTCAGTACTTAACTGACAGTTTCACTTCCAAAGTTTAGAAGATAAAACGAGGACAGCTGCTTTCCTGGTGCTCCCCAGATCATGCTGTGCTGTTGTGCCCCGGCTTTAGTGATTTGCTTTCTCTAGGGCTGATCTATGCTCTTGTTCTGGAGGGCTTCTTAAAGTGGTGATGTCTTGGAGTGGTCATTTATTTAGTTCCCTCCTAAACACTAAGTACACTCAATGTCAGACAAATGTTTGAGGGAGGGAAGATCTCCTGGTTTTGTACCCAAGACAGACTCAGCATGGATTGGCATAAATATTATTGTGGCAGATAACTATCTGTCTATGATGGTGTCTGTCAGTGTAGAAGGAAGATAGCCCACCCTTTCTTCCATTGTTTTGGAGGCTGTCATTGTGCAGCCCAGGACCTGAGCAGTTTCTGGCTGGTGGCTGGATTATTGGCAGTTTGCCAGAACTGCTCTTGTGTCAGTGAGCAAAACTTGCAAGGTTATTCTCCTTGGCCTACAGTCCCTTCTCTCATTGGGTATCCTACGTTGGCTATGCAGGCTTAGGTCTAGCACTTGAATTTCTTGCCTTATCTGTTGTGCTCATTTTTCACTCACAGGTGCTGCAGTTTACATAGTTTTATTCTCCTAGTAAAGAAAGACATTACCAGATAAGCAGATTCTTGAATGGCCAACTGGCATACATGACCACAGTGCTTTTTCATGGCAAGTGGATAGAGATGTGAAGCATTAATAGATTTCACTTTAGGAGAGTTTTTGTTACTGATTTTGATTCCTACTGTACTTAACTTTTCTGGTTTGAGATTGAAATGAATTAAGTACTTCAAGGGCATTACTTGGAGAGATAGAGTAAAAGCATATTACCATATGGGTACTGGTAAATGAGAGTACCAACATTCTTCTGTTAATATTTTGTTCCAGATAAATGTCATCATCACTGACACTTTTTTTTTTTTTTTTTTTTGCTTTGGGTTGTGCCTCAAGAGTTAGGGTTGGTTAGTGGCATAAGCCTTTAGTCCCACCACTCTGGAGGCAGAGGCAGGCGGATCTCTGTGAGTTCGAGGCCAGCCTGGTCTCCAGAGCCAGTGCCAGGATAGGCCCCAAAGCTACACAGAGAAACCCTGTCTCGAAAAACGTGT